AGTGCAAATAATATACCCGTGAAATAGATAGCTAGCTAACTAATTACTAACTTTGTGCTATTGGTTGCCTAAGTCTAATTAGTCAAAGAAATAGGCGAGCCGTGACGGGTAAACAAGTGCACGTGTGCTACTCAAGGGCGCGCATTTTAAAATATTTTTAAGCACACTTACAAAAACTGAAACAATATTTTACTGTCATGCTTTTCCATCGTATGCTTTTACATGTTCGCATTTAGAATTCGTATTTAAACAAACAAGTGAGTTTAATTCATGTAATAAATTACAAACGACGATAGTTTTTTTTGTCAATTGTCTACACTGCGGGCAGAAGCAAAAGTGGCTTTCTATTAAGCTCAAACACGTAGGGCAAATACGGTCGTTGTCTGTCTGTGATGACAGCGCTCTCGAGAAGGTATTATCGTTTCCATGTTTACTAGTGAAACCAGTACATGTAACAGATGGTGCTTGCTGCCGAGCTTCTCTTGAGTGAAATGAAAGAATATTCGCACCTGTTCCAAGTTCTTGATTTTTAACATTGTCTAAAATGGAGTTCAGCTCTTGTTTGGAAATGGATGTTTTTGTTGCTATATCAGCCACGGCCAGTTCTTCGTTCATGAAGACATCTGCAACACTGCTTTCTGTACTACTTTCCTCGTCACTCACCATCCAGCTCGTTATAACTCTGTTTATATCCCCCTTTTCGTGTATAAGTAGTGAAGCCAGCGTAGACCGTGAAACATCTGGAAACGCACCGTACAGATGGTCAAGTTTATCTTCTTCAAGAATGTATGACTTTCTAGCAGATGGAATAGGAAGGTCAGGCATAGCTTGCCATGCTTCTCGCTCTTTTGACCTTGCTTTAGGTTTTGCGGTACTTAGCCCTGACTGGTGCAACTGTAGGGCAGTTTTCATGACTTGTAGAGGATTCATGTCAGGTACAGCACTACTGATGTCTTTGGAAAATTCGTTCACTTTAGCGTAGAGCTCTCTGTGTTTTTCAAGTTGTTTTTTCTTTTGCTCTGCAAATAAAACAAAAGCATRCAACACTAAACAAAAAAGCATACAAACCAGCAAAAAAATGTTTACCCATGCTTACCCGTTTTTTTAGCAGTGACACTCATGTTCTTTGCAACAACTTTCGAAGACAAATCTACTTCTGCTACATCTAAAACTGTTTGTGTACATGACGCGTTGGTTGTCTGTGGTTGATTCGCTAACCGTTTTCCCTCCTTGCTCTTATCATGAGTTGAACACTGTTCACACGAACAAAGTTTATAAGGACAGTTACTTTTGTGGTCTTTAAGTGGCACAACCTTTCCATGAAAGCGGCATTTTACACAAGTTCGCTTGGTCCTTTGCTCCATAATGCTGACTGAACGTGTGCTAAGCGGAAAATAATGGCATGCTTTCCTTTGACTTTACAGCGTGATATACAACCTGCGTGACATAAGAAATTTGCACGTGCATTCGTCCTTGCATGCATGATGAGCGAAGAAATGTTTTTAATGTTAATGATTTTTACACCTTATTTTTGCTGTTTGAAAAGAAAAAARAACTTGTTTTATACTAGTAAATAGTTTTAGTATTTATCTCTATAATTGTTATTTTGAAACGGTTTTAGATTAATTTATCGCGCCAAGTGCTTGGACTGTACTTCATCCGTGACATGCAGAATTAGCATTTCAGGCAAAATCCGCTAGTACACGTGTCAGATCAAGAGCAAAACACCTGACGTTTTCTAGTTTAGAAATTGTCGTGTCGTGTACAGAGTGTGCTACATTATGTGGAGGCAAAATGCTAAAGGAGGTCCGTATTGTCTTGGTTATGCGTATCCTCCTCAGAAAAGGGTGGAAACTTTGGTTGAGTACGTGAATACTCAATCCTTTGCAGTCACTGCTCGAAGATGTAAAGTGTCGTACAATTGTGTCTGTAAGCTGGTAGAAATATTCCACCAAAAGGCAACATTGATGACACAAACGGCGGTAAATACAAGGCCTAAGTCCATACCACTATTTATTGAAATATATATTCAAGCCATAGTCATTATCTACCCAACGATTTACATCAGAGAAATACAACAGATGGTGGCTGACGACTTCTACCTCGCACCAAATCTTGTACCCTCCTGCTCTTTTATCTCAAAGCTTCTATCTAGACTTGACATCACCAGGAAAAAAGGTACCAGGGTTGCTATTGAAAGGTTTTCACCTTACATCCAACAACGACGTCAAGATTTCATCAACTGGCGCAGAACAGTGGACCCACGTTTACTTTATTTCTTTGACGAAACAGGCTTTTCGCCTCAGTCTGATCACCGTCAGATGGGTAGGACGGAGTCTGGCTTTCCCCTGCCTTGCTACGAAAGAAAAGGGAGTGAGAGAACTACGCACTCGGCTCTTGGAGTCGTGGGATACACCGAGGGTGTTCTGATGGCAGTTCCTATTGAAGGTAATTTTAATACTGATTTAATCAACGATGTGATAGCCAGGCAAATTTTACCTCTACTCCCACATAACTGCTTCCTTGTAGGAGATAATGCTAGCGTACATAATGACATAAATCTCGCGAATATCCTGGCTCCAAAAAGAATTACCCTAGTCAAGCTTCCGGCGTACAGCTACGACCTTAATCCAATCGAAATGGTTTTTGGACTGGCCAAAGCCAATACGCAGAAGACACCTGG